GCAAAGACATCTTTAACGCTATCCTAGTCGTTATAGACCAGTTTACTAAGGGCGCTCGATACATCCCGGCGCGTAAGGATTAGACTGCTATTAATATAGTAGAGGCGCTATAGACTAGCATCTTCTATACCTATTAGGGAACCCCTAAGGGGATAGTCTCCGATAGGGGCTCGACATTTATATCGCACTATTAGAGCGAAATATGCCTATAGCTAAGACTAAAGCATCGGCTGTTAATAGCCTTCTATCTATAGACTAACGGTCAAATAGAGAGACAGAATGCTACCCTATAGCAGTACCTGCGCAGTTACATTAACGAGAACCCTAAGGATTGGGTTAATCTCCTATAACCTATAGAATTCGTATATAATAACAGTGTCTACTTATCTACTAAGGTGTCGCCTTATTTCGCTATAATAGGCTAGAACGCTGCTATGCTATAAGACCCCTTAACGCTCGAGGCCGAGCGCAAGGAAAGGGAAGCGTATTAAGTACTAACACCTAAGATACTAGCGGCTATTAAGAGGGTTTAAAAGATACGGGAAATTCACGCTAAGATAGCTAACAAACTAGCAAAGGCCTAGGCCTATTAGAAGGCCTACTATAACAAACACTACCTTCTAATAACCTTCAAGTAAGGCGACCTAGTTATACTTAGCACGAAGAACCTCTATATCCGCAAACACCCCTCGCCTAATAGCAAAACAAGGCCTAAACTCGCACTAAGGTATATCGGCCCTTTCCGTATCCGAGAACCTAGGGGTACCTAGGCCTATTAGTTATAGCTTCTACCTTATTACACTATCTATAACACCTTCTATATATCCCTCCTTAAGCCGTACTACCTACGCGAAGGGGATAAAGCACCTGCTAAATCCGAGGACATACTAGCTAATAGTAAAGAACTGTAGTCTATAGAACGTATCCTAAAGCACCGGACTAGACAAGGCAAGAAGGAGTACCTATTAAGGTAGCAAGGCTATTCGCCTAAATAGGACTCGTAGGAAGCTAAAGGTTCTTTTAAAGATATAACTGAGTTGTTAGATAAGTATTAGACTAGTATAAAGAACAAGAAGAAGGCTAAGGGCCTATAATGTCGCCTAGGAATAATGCTACCCCTAGGGTGCTATTAGCTAACTAATTAGAGGTAAGCGATTGTTAGTAATAAAGGACGATAAGACTATACTAGGCGCGCTACGACGCGTTAACTAATTGCCTACTCTTTTAAGGACTCTACCTCTTTACTAACGCGCCCTATAGGTCCCCCTCTTGTTCCTTTATTCTATCGAGGCCTTAAGGCCTAGGCGATCTACGAGGACGGCGCGCGCGTAAATAGCGATAGTAATAATAACGACGGCGCGGCCGGCGCGGCTATATTAGTAATAGTGTTACGGAGTGTATTGCTGTTTAAGAAAGGAAGAACATAGCTATATTAGTAACGGTATTGCCGAGTTATTGTTAGTTAAAGAAGGAAATTAGAAGCAAGGTAAAGTTAGCGCTAAGACGACTAGCGCCGCCCTTGTTAATATTACTTGCTATTATTACTACGCCTACAGACACAACCTTACCTACACTACGAGCCTAAGGCACCTTTAATTAAAACTTTAATTAAAACTTTAAGCCGCTTAAAAGATTAAGCGACTAATAGACTAGCTAACTAAGGGCAAAACTATAGAGCTAAGCTAGCCGGGGTCGATCTTGCGGATAATAGGTTACTCCTCGATCTATCTAACCCTTTAAGCGAGGCGAACCTCTACTACTATACTTATAATAGCCTTTACCTATAGAAACTAGACGAGCTGTATTTTTTCGGAAAAGATAAGATAAGATTGACAATTGAAGGCTACTAAACCTAGCCAATTAGGGCTAGCGAAACTACGAACAATAATAGCCCTCGTAATAATAAGAACAAACCCTCGGAAGCGGACATAGCTAGGTCTTTTAAGAGTAGACGCAAAGAACTCGGTACGATATTACTTAGAGCGGAGGTAGGGCTATAATACCTCGTACGTCTACCTATTATAGTAGGGAAGACGCGCTCGTATTATAATTAGTCGAAGGCCCTTAATTCTTGTAGATATATATTACTTCCTATTTTATTATATATAGGGATGGCGCAGTTAGAGTTAGATATTGTACTATATTAGAGGTAAGGTTTAACATAGTTACATAATCGGTAGTTGTACGTTTAATTCAGCGCGGACTAAGCGGCTTATTAGACCTGCTAAGTTAGCAGCAATAGAGGTTGAGACTAGAACAAAGACCGGCTACGAGGGCGCGGCCTTTAGAAGGGAAGCGTATATTAGGACTAAAGAGGTTACACGTAATTAGCATGTAACCGGGCTCGAGTAAAGCTAGGGTCTTAATACCTTAGGCAGGGCTTGGCGCTTAGCAATAGGCTAACTTGCCTGCCTTCCTCTCTCTCCTCCTAGCTCCTTATCGAATACTACTCGTACCTACTACCACCCTATCTACCTGCTAATATACCCTTCTTACAACGACGATAAGAAGATATACTATTTAGACTGTAATTTAAAAGATTACTACCGGGCGGGCCTAGATAATTATATTATCTAGGGCCGCTACTATATATTATATATTAATTTATATTCCTCGACGAGTGCTTCCTTAGGAGGGAAAAATCTATATAAATAGCTAAAATACGATAGAAACGGCCTAGACTAGAGATAGTATCTCTATAATCTAAACGCTAATTAGCTTACTCTACTATATCTTAGCTATATACTATACTATACTATACTATACTATACTATACTATACTATACTATACTATACTATACTATACTATACTATACTATACTATACTATACTATACTCGTTACGAAAACTTTTTTTCCGATTACGACGATTCTATCGATAGGATTGCTTAGGATTGCTTAGGATCCTTAGGATCCTTAGGATCCTCGGGATCGTACGTTAAAGATCTTATCGGATAGGATCGCTCGGGATCGCGGGGTCGCGATCCTATCGATAGGATCCTCGCGATCGAAATTTCGGGACGGGCCGTCCCGAAATTCGAGGCTAAGGAACGCAAAGGACGCGGGATGAGTTAGAGCCCGACTACTACTACTACTCCGTATACTACTACTACGTATTTCGGGTTATAATATCTAGGTTAAATTTAGCGGTTTCGTAGGTTTTTTTTATAAATAAATTTTTTTCGTTAAGGTTTCGTTAAATACAGCCGATATTTCGTTAAGGTTTCTTTCAAAAGCCGACGCTTAATAAGCAGAACTTTGAAAAAAAAGTATACTCGAAACACTTAAGATTCTTTTCTAGATTCTAAGATAACTACTAGGTATTAAGACTTGAAAATTTATAATACTCTTATTAGTGGATAGAACTTTAAGTTCTATTTTTTAAATTTCTAAAAATAGTAAAGTATAACTTAGAAAAGCCAAAATACTATATTGCTTATTTCTGTTCCCTAGCTTTAGTTTCGTAGAAAATCTATAAATTTTATATTTTTTAATAATAATATACTAAAAATAGAGTATCCTTTTACTATATTACTAGGCTATAAACCTACTAGAAGAAAAGATAAATTAGAAGCAAAATGTCTAGAAAAGCGATTTTCTTTCCTTTATATCTTTTTATCTAGAAGGTTTACGGCTTAGTAATATATAACAAAAATGTTCTATTTTTAGTATAATATTAGGCAAAAGTCTAACTTTTATAAGTTACCTATTTATCGTTCTAGGATAGCTTAGGATCGCTCGGGATCGCTCGGGATCGCTAGGATCGATAGAATCGTCGCGATTAGAAAAGAAGTTTTCGTAACGCTATACTATACTATACTATACTATACTATACCATACTATACCATACTATACTATACTATACTATACTATACTAGTCTTAAGGCAGGCTAACTGCTATGCCTCGACTAATCCCTTTAAAGGCCCTAGTAAATTAGTAATAAAGATACCTCGCCTTAAAGGTCGAACTATATCGGGCCTATAAAGTTAGGTATCGTAGTATTCCGTAGCCGTATAATATAGTTATTAATTGTTAATTAGATTAATTATATAATTACTTAGAATTATAGTAATTATAGTTATAGTTCTCGGTAAAATAGTTATAATTATAATTTCGTAATTACTTCCTCTAACGAGGATATATCTTTCTAGGCTATATTAGCCTTCTAAACAAGGCGATAAGCTCGCTATATATTAGTATTCTTAATATATAAGTTGTCTTAGGTAAAAAGTATATTTATTATCTACCTAGGTAGAAATAGTACGTCGCTCCTTTACTAAAGTAAGTCTTAATTATACTTACTTAGCCTTAGGTAGGCTACTTGCCCTAGCCTACTCTAATCTTATAACTATAATAATAATTCTATTATTAATTATATATAATTAGTTATAATTGTAATATTTAGTATATAATTGTAATTAATTAATAATTAAGAACTATGCCGTATAAGTATCTTCTATTAAGGAATTTATAGGAAAAGGATCTATAGTAACTTATAAGACGTCGTCTATAAGCTACCGAAACCGCTCTTTATTCGCTATACTATAGTTGCGATAAGAGGTTACTCGTTATATATTATTACTCTTTTCTATCGTCTATTAAAGGATAAAATGCTACGCGTATCTAATGTTTAATATCCTGCTATATATACCTATATTAAGCGAGATAGTAGACTAGGCTATCTCTAACCTTAGAGTCTTTAACTTATATTAGATACTATTAGTCCGAAAACGGCAGCCCTAGATACTAGCTTCCTATTATAGATAGACGGGGGAGTATAACGAGAGGGTTTATTATTATAACTTATAAGTAATTAGATCCTAACTAGAGACTGCAATTGCAATTTGCCGTAACAGAACACAGCAAGAGCTAGGCTGCCCTACCTCTCGCATTTCGAATTTGCAAATTGACCAAAGCTTAATTAAACTCATGAGCCTTGGATGACAGATGCTGCAATGATTGAAACATGTACGGAGTTGAGGCTTGGCAAGAGTGAAAGGTCATCCCATGAGATACGCGTTGACACTCTGCAAAGTTGCTCGACTTGGACTTGCATCCGGGATTGATACCATAATCCAGCCAAGACGATGCTTGATCATTGTCTTGTTGATGCCGTCGACGCGTTCCGAGTCATCAAGCCTGAGTCGCCCTTCCTGGTCACAGTGCTGACAAAGTAAAGCTAGTGCAACTCCGATGGCAAGGTCTTTGCCAGTCTCGCAAGCGATAAGCACCTTCATTTTCGGCTTCATAAGTGGTTTTAGTGCGCTCAATTTGGGTAGCTGAGCTCGCAGCAATCGGCTGCCATTCTTCCCAGTCGGTGTTGCGAGAGTAATATAGAATGACTTCTTGGCCTCCCTGAGTTCCAAATCAGGCTTGATTATGCAAGAGATCACAATGTCGTACTCGTGTTGAAGCCGACTAGCAGCTGCATTCGTTCCAATGAAGAAATTTGAAGTTGGTTCGACTTGCACGGGTAGCTGATGTGTGCCTTGATGTTGAGCCTGTTCCATGATCTGGCTGATCTGTCCAGGCAATTCGTCCTCGCTTGCACTCAATAACTCCTTCTGATACTTCCAGAACGCCGAAGCATCGAGGCCTAGGCTCCAGCTCTCTGGATCATCGGCAGCGCCCTGGACATAGTCACTCGTTGCACTGGTTTCGTGACTAGTCTGGTTGGAAGCTGTGCAGAGCACTATAAGATTTCGCCTTTCATTCCAGTCTCCTCCAGCTTCCGGCAACTGGTATCCAGGCCTGTGCCAAGAGATTTGAACAGGCTTGCGGCCCAGCTTCTGTCGGAGTCTCTCTAGGTCCAATTGCAGATTCTTGGCACTTTCCAGCAGCTCGTCCAACGTCGCCTCAATCTGAGCATGCTCACTTTCACCGACTACATCCATCGGCGTGCTCAAATCGCCACTGCCAAAGAGGAGGCGATTCAAAACACAACACCAGATGGGAACAGTCTTGCTCAATGCGTCAGGCATGGACTTGCCTCTCCTGGTAGAATCAACGATAACACATCCCCCATACTTCTCCAGCACATCCAGCACCTGAGAATTCAGCCTTCTCAGGCTGAAGCTCCATTGTCCGAAATGTCCGTCCGTGGACTTGAAATACGCCGACCCGACCTTGAGCTCGGGGGGAATGTACCAAGATCCACAGCGTTCATTTGCGACCAGAGGCAGCCCATACGTCCAGGCAACTTTCGTGACGAATTCCGAATCTTTTTTGATGGAGCTCAAGCGATTTGAAATTTTGAGATTGCGCTTTTTCAACTCGCCGAGTGCGATTTTCAGTTCCGATGATGCAGCTGAGAAGATGAGATCACTTTCTTGGAGAGTGCTCGTGGACATGGCCGACATGCTGATAAAGGTAGGGGTTAGAGTTTGAGGTGGAATCTAGCAAGTTTTCGTGGCTTGGCATGCGGCAGGTGCGTGTTGGATGCATGTGAAAGCCGGACAGACGCGCTCGTCGCCCGTCCGCATATTGGCGCATCAACGCGGCGATAGATCACGATGTGGCAGCTATAGCCTGCGCAGACACTGAGAGACGAGGGCACCTCCGAGGCAAAAAATTCAACACTGTCAATTCCATCTACCTTTCCACGCATAGATCTGTGCACTCCTTTCGCCACGCTAAAATGATGCGTTGAATGGCTCGACCAAGCCTGTATGCATGTCCGCTGTGTACCCAAAGCCCATTGACAATCACCTCAACTGCCTCCAGCAAGCCAAATGCTAGCTTGCGCAGTCCACACCAAGAGCCACGCATTGAGCACCGAGACCGATGAAGTCCGATTGGAACTTGTGGTTTCATTTCGACAAAGCTCCATCAATGTCCTTCAGCAGCGATTTCAACTCGCCCAGATTGTCCTTGTCGGGGCCGGCAGCTTCAAACTCCAGCCCACTGGTCACCCATTCCTTCGCTTCTTCGAGTCGTCCCATTTCCTTCAGACACTGCCCTCTCCGCCACCACGCTTTCACATTTCCCATCTTCTTCAACTCAACCGCAATCTCGGCATCCACTGCGGCTTCCGCCCACGATTGCATGCTCATGAGACATTGGCTCTTGTTACCGTACAATGTGCTCAACTCGTCTCGCACAAGTCCCGATGCTTCCCATGCCGGTCGATCTGCTGCCATCTTGATTGCGAGGTTGTACATCTGAATCGCCTCTGGGAACGCGCCTTTCTTGTAAGAAGCATTGCCAGAGTCTTTGAGCTTGCCGATTTGGACGCTGCGCTTCGGATTCACGGGCGCAGGAGGCGGCGGGATCTGATTCGGAGTGTCGAGCGCTGTGAAAGCTTTGTTGAGGCGATTCAGGTCCTCGAGGTCACTCGCAAGGCTAGGATCGGTCGACGATATGAGTTTCGTGGCAGGGTCGATTGTGAGAGGGAGGAGGTTGAATGTCTCTGGGGCCTCCATGGCGACTGCCTAATATTCTTCGCAATCGAGATGTGCTATTGCGATGGCAGTGCCTCACAGATCCTATGAGCTGCTTGAGGTTGCTGACAAGGTTGAGGTTGCACTGGAATAACGAACACATATTGACGACAAGAATAGAAGCGGAGACCGGCTGCTCCCGCACGACCTCTAATGGCCAATCGCTCGGACTGGTCTTCCGTGACTTGCATGCGTCTACCAGTTTATCGATAAATCAACCTGTCAATGCAGATCATCAATAGTAATGATCTGAATGGAGCCATTCACGAGAATGAGACCGTGATCCATGAATACTTTTCGGCTTCCACACTATTAGCAAGCTAACATCTTAGAGGGAGCTAGCGGCAGATGTACGCTACGTAGGAGATCTCTACTACTAGGGCTTGATTTTTACAATAGGAGCTAGGCTATATATATATACTAGTTCTTAGCCCTTGATTCCTAATCTAGTATTACTAATATATTGCTAATACAAGTAGCCTTAGAAATACTATCTAACTTATTTTAACTACTAAGATAATCCTAGTTATTAACCTAGGCTTAGTAAGGATCCCTTATCCTCCCCTACTAAGGCCTAAGGCACCTACAAAGGCTTTACTTAATGTTTTATATATAACTTTTCCTAAAATCCTAAAATACTAGAGGGAGCTAGTTCTCTTATTATAAGCGAGGCTTAAAGTAAAGCTTTAGAGGCTTTATTTAAGTACTCGTACTTTTAACTAGGCACCTATATCTAAAAGAATGTTCTAGGTATAAGTAACCTTAAACCTAGTTAGTTTAGGGTGTTTTTATAGGTAAAGTAAGGTAAGTATATTTACTAGTAAGCTAAGCTTAAGTATAGGCTACTTCTATATACTTAAAAAGAAGCTACTTTTCCTTTTTAAACTTAAACACGTTTATTACTAACTAGCATTAGTAACATACCTTCTAGTACTAATAATACTTGTATTAGTAGTAGTAGTAGTAGTAGTAGTAGTAGTAGTAGTAGTAGTAGTAGTAGTAGTAGTAGTAGTAGTAGTAGTAGTAGTAGTAGTAGTAGTAGTAGTAGTAGTAGTAGTAGTAGTAGTAGTAGTAGTAGTAGTAGTAGTAGTAGTAGTAGTAGTAGTAGTAGTAGTAGTAGTAGTAGTAGTAGTAGTAGTAGTAGTAGTAGTAGTAGTAGTAGTAGTAGAGGCAAGCGCCCTCTAGGAGATATGTTTAACTTCTATTTAATACTAGAGTTAATACTAACCCTTTTAGGTAGTAATAGTAGTAAGAAGGGTCCTTAGGGAAGAAAGCGCTCCTTACGTAAGATTACCCTAGAGGAGCTATATAATGCTTTATCCGACTATAGCTTTAAGACTCGTACTAGGTATCCTAAAGACAATATAGTAATAGTTAAGATTTATAAGGGCAATTACCGCGTAATTGCCTAGGCTCTAATTGCGGCTCTATCTCGTAGTATTACTCCTCGTTCCTTGCTAATAGAGTAGGGTATTAATATAGTTGCTAGTAGTAATCTATAGCCTTTAAATACTAGTATAGTTTAGCTAGTTAATGCTGTAAATAATCCTCTAGGGTTTAATATTTTAGAATCCCGTTTAGCTACAATCCCTAGGGAGGTAGCTACTATACCTTAGGAATAGCTCTTTCTTAGACTAAGGGCAGGATTATTAACAACCGCGGCTCGGGGCTATATAACCCGCACTCTAAGAGTAGGAAGTCTCCTTATATACTATATACCCGCAAGTTTAAGGCTAAGAAGGGCAAGTATACTATTTGTATTTAGGCTACTCTTAATAATAGTAAAAGTCCTAAGCTAGCTTTCGGAGGATCTTATACTAACTATATAGATAGGAATTACCTAGACTAGTACCTATACTACGATTCTAATAGTAATTAGGCTAAGGTACGCAAGACTAATAAGTCTTCCTTAGATCTATCTAAGAGTAGTCGTTCTACTTCCCGTAGCGGGACTTAGCGCAAATTAAACTAGAATCTATTAAGGGCTAGGCTAGTAGTAGATCCGTAATTTACATTAGTAGAAATATAGTAGTAGAGCCTAGAGAACGTTACGAAAACTTTTTTTCTAATCGTATCGATCCTATCGATCCTATCGATCCTAAGCGATCCTAAGCGATCCTAAGCGATTCTAAGCGATCTCTAGCGACCGAGTCGCGACCTAACTCGCGCCCGGGTCGCTTAGGATCGATAGGATCGACGCGATCGATACGATCGATAGGATCGCTTAGGTACTAGTAAATTTTTATATATATAGGATCGCTCTAGGTCGCTCGTAGTCGTAGTCGTTAGTAATGTTTATACTATTCGTATATTGCTATATTAATACTTATCGACTCGTCGACTCGGTCGTATTAGTCGACTCGGTCTAAACTAGAATATACTAGTAGTACTATAGGTTTAAGTATATTACTATAATAGTTTTTTAACCGTCGTTACTATATATCGCTATATCCTGCCTTATACGTTCTCTATTAACTATAAAATTATTCTTCGCCGCCTTAGTATTATTATCCTCTATATTTCGGAGGTATAATTTCTATATACTCTACTCGGTACGTTGCCTTTTTATTACTCGCCTATAAGCCTTTATAGCTCGCATTTCCTTCTCCTCCTATTCCTCGTCGTAAATTGTATTATATGTCTCGAAATTAACTATACTATTAATATAGCGAGTCCTATATAGGGCGCCTTCGTCTATAGGTATAGCGTATAATATATAATAGACTAGTAGTAGGCTATATACCTGTCGCCCTTTAAGTCTACTATAGTACGGTAAAAGACGCTATAGCTAGATTGTCGTTAGACTATACGTATCCTTATACTCGCTCTTATCGTTAATATAGTTGTAAAGCTTAACAAAAACGCCTATAATAGGCCTCCGTTTCGTCCTAAGCCCCTTCCTATATTTAATTCCTATTTCTATATTAATCGAGATTACGTACTTTAGTTACGCTAGTAGGCGACCGCCGAATCGAACCGCTAATTTATTAGGTGTTTCTATATAATTGACGTTGTATTCTTATACCTATATAAAATTATAACGTCTATTGCTATAGAGCCCCTCCTAGTTTAGTATATATCTCGCGAAGTCGGCTACTACTATATTAGGATATTCTATATCCTTACCCGTAGGCCTCTAGTATCGGATTCTACCGTAGAAGCAGATCTCTATATCTAGGACGTATATATAGTCCGTTACGATATCGTTAGGGTCGGCTGCGGTACTTAATGCGCTATTCTTATCGTAGGTACCCTATTGCCGTACGAATACCGTAATCGCTTATCGGAAGTCGCGACCTAGGTTCTCTTCTATTATAGCTATAGCCTCCCTTATTGTAATCTACTTAACCGATTTCTTTCTGTTCCTCTATTTCTCGGGCTAGTATCCTAGGATATCCTCTACTAGTCGTACTATAGTTAGCATTATTAGCTATTATATATATTCCTTAACGGTACGAGTATTTATAGGGATTGCTATATATTCTTTGTCGTCTTCGGCTTATATATTTAATCTATTAGTATCGCTATCTAGTATACTTTCTTCCTAGCTAGGCTTCTTATTTATTAGCTAAAATATAAGCTTTAGTAGTTTATAGTGTTTATGCTCGAAGTAGCCGGTATTTAAGTCTAGAAGATTGCCGAACGTCTTAATATAGCTCGGGGCATATATTATACCGTAGAATTTCGGTATATTAAAGTGCCCTTCTATTTATGTTATTATTAGCTCGTTAGCTTCGTCGTCTTCGTCTATTATAACCGTATCGTCGTTATTTAAATCGTTCGTTCTTCGCGTAGTAGCCTTCGCATCCCGCTAGGCCCTCTTCTACACCTTTATTACCCTATATAGGCGAAACACATTCTTCTATTCGTTTATCCGGCATAATACTATCCTTAGACACTTAACTATTTCGTCGTTATAGTATCTATATATCGCTAGAACGGTAAAGTCTACTAGTGCACGTAGAAATCCTACTACCTACGTTAACGGACCTCTTCGAGTAGTAGTATAAATACAACTAATAAGACTCGTAGGACGCTTTGCTACTCTTAGCCTATCTACTAAGTAACTACTAAGTAGTAGTAGAACTTGCGAAGATTAGTATATACGGGTATATACGCGAACCGTCTATCTAGTATTATATCGATAATCCCTTACACTACTATTTTCCCTAGCTTTCTTGTTTTAGTAGATAGGCCCCTATTTAGGGTCGAGTCGGTAACTAGTCGGTATCTCCTCGTTTTTATATAGCTTATCTTGTCTACTAGTAGGTCCGTAGTCTATTAGATTGCGTATATTAGCACTCCTTTTAGTAGCTAGTATAGTATATCTACTACTAAAGACCGGTATATATCGACGTATTTCTAGCGCTATATAAAGCAATCGATGTCGTAGACGTTCTATAGATCCTTCGCTATATATTCGCCTTTACGTTGCCTTAGATATCGCTACTTCGTAGAGTCGTATAACCGCTATTCTACTATAATATCGAGGTGCTCTCGTTCTATCGGGTATACTAGGCAACTTAGACAATATATATTTATTTTAACTCCGGTAATTGTAACTTGCTCTTTATAGTCTACTAATATTACTACTAATATTAGAAAGTACCTACGCGTCGCGCTATCTACGTATATAATGTCCTAGCCCTCGCCGTCGGCCGCTTTTATAGCGGAGCGAAATATATATACTATCGATATATAATATATACTATTTTTAGTAAAACTATCGCTATCCTTAACGACCGGTAGTAGTCCTAGTAAGATCGTACTAGGTCTGTTATTCGCGTTGCGTACTCGTACGTATAGGTTTCCGATAGTAAGATATATAGGGTATACTATTAAGTTACCTTAGAAGTTAGTTATCTACGTTTTATCGGTTAATACAACTAGAGGTATAATCGTTACGCCGTCTATGTTTATCTTGCTCTAGTTATCCTACTACTAGTCTACTAACGCTATATTAGAGTAGATTCGCCGTAGTA